GCAGTTCATATATGAATTATTTCATATAAACTTCACAATCGTATTGTCAAACATTTCTCTTGGATAAATTCTCCTCCGCCTTTTCTGGTTGGCGACCTGCTTGTAATCCTGTTCGGACACAGCTGCTTTGCTCAGGATAAAAACAATTAATTATCTCTTATTCAAACTTTATTCGAATTTACTTTTCACTCGGCAACGATTTTATTTTCACTGTCCGTTAATTGCCTTTGGTTTTTAACTCGTGGTCTCGAATTTGTTAAAGTTGTTATTCAGAGGCTTTTATCGCTACATCTATTTGTTTTTAATGATTAATTTTGAGCCTATATTAAATTATTCTGTTCAAAACCTGTTCAAAGTTCTTTATTCTACCTGCGAAATGTTCCATAGGCCTGTTCGGCAAGAAATAATGAAGCAAAATTTGTCTGAGACTACGAAAAGGACACTGCATATTTTTGATGTCTTGAGGAAATTAGTTCTCGTGACTAGCGTCAAAACTAGACTTAAAAGTGAAGAATGATCATCGCAGTAAATTTTCCAAATGAAGCAATTGGAAAGAAGAAGCCTGAAAAAATCAGGGCTTCAACGTTGAAACCCTGATTTTTTCAGGCTTCTTCTTTCCAATTCCTTAAATTGGAAAATTTATTGCGATGATCATTCTTCACTTTCATCTAAAACCGCAGTTCAAATATGAATTATTTCGTATATACTTCACAAGCTAGACTTATTAAAGTCGACTTAGGTTTTGACGTAAAAATCCATTAAGAACAAAGAGTGTAAAACGATACGATGTCAAACGCTTTTTACGAGTTTCTCTTTAGGCAAATAAAAACTCTTCACAATTTCGTATTTTTCGGAATCACGAGTGAAATGTTCCCAGTTGTAGATTTATTAAGTTAATACTCCGAGGGATCAATATATAAGAAGCAAAAAAAGAAGTAAAAAAGCTGTGAATTATTTTAAGAAGATTCGAGTGCGAGATGGCTTGCTCAACGTCATTATTTTCGATGTGCTTTTTGTTCTTTCTCGAAGCAATAGAAGGAATTTATAGCCCTGTTATCACTGAAGTGAATCAGGTTTTGGTATATTGAACAAGTCTGATATCGATACCTTAACATGTATTTCATGCTGAAACATTTCACTATCGAAACATTTATTTTTATGACTGGATATCAGTATCCAGATATAGCTACGGAAATATCAAATTAATCGTCATCTTCCAGAGATTAAAGATAAAATATGGAAAAAGCTTCTTTTCCTGTTCATTTTGTTATCAATAGCAACTTTATCACATACGGTGAGTCTTAAAATATTCTTAGCGCGACAGCGGAGAGCTTGGTGAATCATAACCACGTGCATAAAAATATCCAGATTATTCCTTTTATACTCAGTCGACTAATGATTATTTAAGGTTATTTTGAAAACAATTTTTACGTTCGTATGATACCCCATTTTCATGCTTTCTATTAGCTTTCGTTAAAATTAACAATAATTTAGAGAATGCATCTGGTGCCAAGTCAACGTGGGAACAAAAAGAAACGGAAAGAGAAATGCATACGGCAGATTATTAGCGATGACATTTTGTCCTAATTTGATAAATGGAACAGAAACGTGCTCACATTAATGACGTTGCGTTCATTGTTCCATCTGCCATTCATCTTCATACGGGCAGCATCTTGATACTAGGAAAAGCAAACAGACAAAGTCGTGCATATGAAGGTCCAATTTTTGCGAAAATATCGCTAGTACAGCAATAAAATTCTTTGCCAAACAGTTCTGTACAACGATCGAATAACCAAAACAAAAAAACCCAACAGTCCGAGTGCGATAAATAATAAGGAATTTTTTTACAGAAACAAAACTAGCTGGTTCTAATTAATGAAAATTTTGGAAATGCAATATCAACGCATTAGATTACATCTAATAGAACAGGTGAAATTAAATTCATTTTAAATCTAACTTCAACTTTGGGGAGGATTTTTCCAATAGACGGCATGGGTCTTAAGCACATTTCGATGAAAATACGTCATTTCAGTATCAATACCAGTCATTCCTAAGGTAAGATATTGTCCGTTTCAATCCTACAAAATGGAGAATCCGAATGGCTCAACGCTGTCTTTGCTTGACGAA